TATGCCTAAACCCTAAACCCTAAACCCTAAACCCTAAACCCTAAACCCTAAACCCTAAACCCGCTTCTAGGGGTCCCTCCTTGTACCCCTTAACGAAACAGGCCATGAGTCGGCAAAGGTTCGGGGCTGAGTTCGTCCGCGGGGATGATGTGAAGAGTCGTTTCGGGTGTTTTGGGTTTTGGGTTCAGGGTTTTGGGGCTTAGGGTTAAGGGTTTAGGGTTTAGGGTTTAGGGTTCAGGGTTTAGGGTTATTAGGGGTCATGTCGAGCTTGACTTGGTCTCTGTGCACGCTCTGCCGCAGCTCCGGGCCACCGACATAACGTCATGTTTCTCGCTGCGTAGGGATTGCCGCACGTCCCATGCGACTTCCTAGCCTCACAGGGAGGAAGCAAGCATCAAGACTCGGGGCCACCACATGGCAGACGAAGCAGAGTGCCTCGCAACATGCAGGTATAGCAAGCTTCACAGCTGCCCTGATCGGGTTTTTAGGGCTTTTTCCAGGGTTTCGGGCGGTCGACGTCAGCCTTCCAGCAAGCATGGCGGAAGCAGCGACAGGGCCGACTGGGATGCAGGCGGGGGGGGGGGGGTATAGGGTTTAGGGTTTAGGGTTTAGGACATAAAACGTCTGTATGTACCTGGTATAGTCCCTATGAAAACGTAAATAATCCATGGAGATGGGATTTTCGAACGCTCGAATAGCCAGGGCCATGGGTACTTCGAGGGTTCAGGTGCTTTGCCCCAAACCCTAAACCCTAAACCCTAAACCCTAAACGCCCTAAACCCCATAAGCCTGAAATCCTCAACCCTTTGAGACCATCTTATACCCTCAGCTCGCGACTTTCCAGGTGAGAAACACCTTCATCGACATTCCGTCGCTAGGGCGCCCAAGATGGTCGTGCAGCAGTTCCTTGAGCCCTAAAACCCTAAACCCTAAACCCTAAAAGCAATTGTGAGGTTTACATCGGGTTTTGAGCTTACAAGGCCAAGGGCTATATGGCTGAAGGGGTTCCTGGAGCATCAGATTACGCAGAATGTGGCTCACAGCTCCAAAATACAGGGCTTTGTAGAAGCCGTCATTATGGGTAACTTATGGGCTTAGGTACCCTAAAGCCTGGGCCCTAGACTCTAAACCCATAGGCTTAGGTTCTCTTTTTGGGCCAGAGAATCTGAGACCTTCGAGGTTTAGGGTTGTGGGTCCTAAACCCTAAACCCTAAATCCTAAACCCTAAGCCCTAAACCCTAAACCCTAGCAACCGGAAGTTCAACCCCGGAGTCTTAAGGATGTCGGGCTTTGGGTCAGGATGTTTGGGCTTTCGTAGGGTTTAGGGTTTAGGGTTTAGGGTTTTGGGTTTTGGGTTTTGGGTTTTGGGTTTAGGGTTTAGGGTTTAGGGTTTAGGGTTTAGGGTTTAGGGTTTAGGGTTTAGGGCTCAATATTTAGCTTCAGCCAACGCCGCCACCCAAAGACTGGGTTTTCAGCCTGAGGGCGGAGACACCCCTAAACTTACCAGGAGGTTCAGGGTACTTAGAACCCCAATTACTCTGTGAGTGCTTTACTGTAACTGTAGATCCTTAGCCTTTTTGGGTTTATTGAGTTTCTGAATAAAGGCAGCTAAGATTTTAATCTATAGCTACCCTGCTAAGTGCAGCCAAGATTAGAACTGTACTTATAAGCCCCCTAAGTCCTCTAAGTAGGTTATAAGTAGACTTCTAATTGGGGTTATAAGTACCCATGAACCTCCAAGTAGGGGCCCAAAAACCCACATTAAGCATGGGATCCTGCCGTTGGGGTATAAGGGCCCCCCATAAGGGAAATTCTGGAGACCATGGTTTGTAGAACCCTTCTGTTTATGTGGTTTTTCGGGCCCCTATAAGCCCTATACCCTAAGGCCTAAGTCCTAAACCCTAAACCCAAGGCCCGAAAACCCTAAACCCTAAACCCTAAACCCTAAACCCTAAACCCCCGATAGTTCAAGATGCAGAAAGACTGGCAACTATTCTGACCCTCCTTTACCACGTCATCCTTGTCCACCCCTCCCTAAAGCATATAAACCCTAAGGCCTAAACACTAAACTGTAAGCCCTAAACCCTAAACCCTAAACCCTAAACCCTAAACCCTAAACCCTAAACCCTAAACCCTAAACCCTAAACCCTAAACCCTAAACCCTAACTTTGCCCTAGACATATCAGCCGCTGCCCAGGACGGCCACACCGCTGCCCTCGCCACCCTCCTCAGCACCTGCGCGGCAGGCGGTGGCACTCAAGGCATCCTCCCCCTGGATTTAGAGTTTAGGTTGGGTTTAGGGTTTAGGGTTTAGGGTTTAGGGTTTAGGGTTTAGGGTTGAGGGTTGAGGGTTGAGGGTTTAGGGTTTAGGGTTTAGGGCTTAAAGGGCTTAAAGGGCTTAAAGGGCTTAAAGGGCTTAAAGGGTTTAGGGCTTCTAGGGCTTATAGGGCTTATAGGGCTTATAGGGCCTCTAGGGCCTATAGGGCCTATAGGGCCTTTGGGGTTTGGGTTTAGGGTTTAGGGTTCAGGAATTAGGTTGAGGGTACAGGGCTTCTCGGGTTCTTACATTACAGGGCTCTTATTGGGTTTTTTGTTTGCGGGGCTTATGGGGCTATGGAGGGTTTATAAGGTGTAGGGTTGCCTGCGTCATGAAGACCTCAACAGAGCCTGAATTCTCAACCCGAAAGACAAAACCCTACGTTAGTTTTGGGTTTAGGGTTTAGGGTTTAGGGTTTAGGGTTTAGGGTTTAGGGTTTAGGGTTTAGGGTTTAGGGTTTAGGGTTTAGGGTTTAGGGTTTAGGGTTTGGGGAGCGTGGAAGGAGTCGCTTCAGCAAGCAGCTGATGGTCAGGCTGCGGCCCCTCAGCTGAGAAAGCCAGGTTTAGGGGTTTAGGGTTTAGGGTTTAGGGTTTAGGGTTTAGGGTTTAGGGTTTAGGGTTTAGGGTTTAGGGTTTAGGGTTTAGGGTTTAGGGTTTAGGGCTATGGATTTCGGGTTTAGGGTTTAGGGGTTGGGGTTTAGGCTATAGGGTTTAGAGTTTAGGGCTTACCTAGCCAATAGTTGAGCTAATTGCAGGGTTCAGGGTTTGGAGTTTTGGGTTTGGAGTGGAAGGCTTAGTTTAGGCTTTGGTGGGTTTTTGAGACTTTGGGGTTGGGCGGGGTTTGAGGGATCCCCCCAGAAGAATCAACAAAATGAAAATGAACACACTACAATACTCCTACAAGATAACAGTAATAAACAATATGTACAGTAAATGAGCACAGACACAACGTCAAATTTGAATTCCTACCCTCCTACCCAGGCCCCTCAAAAGCCCTGATCCAAAAGCCTCTAGCCTTGACCCCAAAGCACTTCTAGTTGCTTAAGAACACCCCCCCCCTTCGACAAAACAAAAGCAAAGAAGTAAGACACATTTCTTGCTTATAAGGGCAATAGCGGGATTTGTTTTTTGCTATTTTCTCAGGGCTCCTCAGCATAGAAAAGCGCCTCCTACTTTGGACCCCTGCACTTCCAGCCCCTGGCCACCCTGTCGATGGGAATGGGAATCCTCCTCCCCCAAAAACGCCTCTAAACCCTCACCGCGCCCCCCTCCCCCCCCCACCTCAAACAAACAGAAATTCACATATATCATATATATATAGAAGAAGCAGAAGAAGATGATGATGCCAATAAAGTACATAAATAACAAGTACAACCGGACTGAAATAAAACCTAGACCCCCGAACCTAGACCCGGAAGCCTCAAGCGCAAAAGAAGCTGGATTGGCCCAGAGCCACCCTCACCCAAAGCCTCCACGGCCCGCGAACCAATGGATTTAGGGTTTAGGGTTTAGGGTTTGGGGTTTGGGGTTTGGGGTTTAGGGTTTAGGGTTTAGGGTTTAGGGTTTAGGGTTTAGGGTGTAGGGTTTACGGGTTTAGGGTTTGGGGTTTAGAGTTTGCAGCTTATAAGGGTTCAGGGTTTGGAGTTTACGGCTTATAAGGGTTTAGGATTTGTTCAGGGTTTGGTGTTTAGGGAGTTGGGGGGTTTCGGGTTTAGGGCGACTGTGCGGAAAACCCAATCACGGCCAACAGCTTGACCTTAGCGATTTTTTTCGGATTGGGTTGTCAGGGTTTGGGGTGTATCAAGGGCCTTTGCCTTGGGCCCCTGAGGTTGCACCCTTGGTTTTGGGGACTTTTTTAAGATCCCCGAATCGAATGCAATGGCCATATTTGGAGTGGTATTCCCTAAACCCTAAGCTTCAAACCCTAAGGGTTTAGACTCACTTCCCTCTACATTCTGGTTCCCTTCCCTCCTTTCCCTTCCCTCTTGTTCCCTTCCCTCTTTTGTCTTACGCATCCTAAGCTTTACGGTCCCGCCCCCCCTGCCCAGCAAGGAAAGAGAACACCCTAACACCCCACAAGCTTAAGCCCTCTTAAAGGGTAGTTTCATGGTCCCTTAAGTTGGTTCCCTACCTCCTTTCAAGGGTTCTGATGTGTGGGCCCTTAAGTTGTATAGGGTACACAAGGGGTATATAAGGGGTGCCCGTTTAAGGGCATGCAAGACACCCTAAACCCTACAAACCCATTAGGGCTCAGGGACGTCTATCGCCTGTAAACCATAAACCCCTAAGCCCTAAACCCTAAACCCTAAACCCTAAACCCTAAACCCTAAACCCTACTGTAAACCCTATTTTAGCGCACTGACCATATCAAGTCAAGAGTTTTCAGGCGCTGGTCCCAGCCTGCGACCCAGTTTCGGGGCCACCCACCCGGCTCTCCAAGCCCTAAACCCTAAACCCTAAACCCTAAACCCTAAATTAGTGGAGGAATGTCCCCCTAGGGAGTATATAGGGGTTGGGGAGTGGAATCGTGCCATATTTCAGGAGCTATAGAGCTTTAAATTTAGGGTTTTTTGGTTTTAGGGTGTAAACCCTAAACCCTAAACCCTAAACCCTAAACCCTAAACCCTAAACCCCTTCGCGTTTTGGAGTGCGCAGCGCTGGGTGCCCAGGAGGCAGGCACAGCCATGGCAGCAGGCGCCGCGACGGTGGTGCGGAGGCGCAGCCACCCGAGAGTCCATGAGCCCTGGGGCCCTTTGAACCCCAAACAACCCTAAACCCCAAACCCGAAACCTTGAACCCCGAACCCTGAACCCTAAACCCTAAACCTCAAGCCTAAACCCCAAACCCGAAACCCTGAACCCCGAACCCCGAACCCTAAACCCTAAACCCTAAACCTCAACCCTAAACCCTAAACCCTGATCTTTGCTAGCTTAGGACCGGTCCTTTGATCTACAGAGGAGAAGAGTCTGTTTGCCTTAAGGCTCAGGGTTGTAGGGTCCATGGCTTCCGGTTTCGGGTTCAGGGTTTAGGGTTAAGGGTCTTTTGGGTTTAGGGCTTGGGGTTTAGGGTTTAAGGTTTAGGGTTTAAGGTTTAGGGTTGGGGTTAAAAAAGGGTTTCGGGTAGAGTGTTTCGGAATTGAGACAATGATCTTCGTGTGGCACGAGAAGCTCCTGAAAAGAGGGCGGTCTAAGGGAGGTACGTATCTGGGGTTGAGGGTTTAGGGTTTAGGGTTTAGGGTTTAGGGTTTAGGGTTGAGGGTTTAAGGTGTAGGGCGCCACCGCAGGGCAAAGCCGAATCCGCTGAACTTCCTCTCGCAAAACTCGATGGTGCCGCGCACTCAGGATGCAGGTGAAACTCGTGAGTTCAGGGGTTCCCCACCCCCCCCCCCCAGGGTACTTAGGGAAAATTCAGCCTAATTAAGGATCATGTAACGGGGGGAACCTAGGGGGGGTAGTAGGGAAGCCCATGATGAATTAGGCCACTTAGCCATGGACTCTAAGCCTCAAGAACGCCCTTAGCCCTGTAAAGCCTTCGGTTTTAGGTTTTCCCCCTATTCTCATGGGGTTTAAGAGGATCAATGTTCAAGGTTTTTTTTCAAACCAGCAATACCCAACAAAGATATCCCTTTCGGACATCCTTTTGGGGAGCCGAGCCTTAGACCTGAAACCCTAAACCCCAAACCCCAAACCCTAAACCCTACACCCTACACCCTAAATCCTAAACCCCAAACCCTAAACCCTAAACCCTACACCCTAAACCCTAAATCCTAAACCCTAAACCCTAAAATCCTAAAAGGAGATTCGGTTGCTTGGGAAAGTCTGCAGGTCTTCTCTTTCCTTTCAACCTGAACCCCCTCAGCCACCTTTTCTCGCGAGCAGACATAGGGTTCAGGATTTGGGGGGTTAGGTTTTAGGGTTTAGAGTTTAGGGCTTGGGATTTGGGATTTGGGGTCTGGGGTTTAGGGTGTAGGTTTTAGGGTTTAGGGTTTAGGTTTTAGGGTTTAGGGCTTAGGCTTAGGGTTTAGGATTTGGGATTTGGGGTCTGGGGTTTAGGTTTTAGCCTGCGCCCACTACTAACAGTAGTAGCGTCTGACAGGGAACTCCGTTTTACTGTTGTTACAGGGGGAGTTGATGTGTGCTTCTAGAAGAGTCCCTCTATCCATTATTAAACCCTACGCCCTACAAGAATTCCTGCAACATCTCCTTAACTTCACTCCCTTCCCCCGAAGCGCCAGCAAGCAAAGAGCCTCCCCTACAAGCCCTCCCAAACACCCGTAGGGTTTAGGGTTTAGGGGTTTTAGGGTTTAGGGTTTAGGGTTTAGGGTTTAGGGATTAGGGTTTAGGGTTTACCCCCCAAAACAGAGCCCTTCATAAATCTTGGAAGCGGTACTCTCACGAGAGGTCGATTCCCGAGGGAGCCGACGCGCTGCATCCAGAGGCCCGTTGCTCCTAAACCCTAAACCCTGAACCCTGAACCCTGAACCCTAAACCCTAAACCCTAACCCCTAACCCCTAACCCCTAAAGCCCTAAAGCCCTAAACCCCTAAACCCCTAAACCCCTAAACCCCTAAACCCAGAACCCTAAATCCTAAACCCTAAGCCCTAAACCCTAAACCCTATCCCCGAAACCCCCTAAGCCCTCTGAATCCCTGAGCAGCTATACTCCAAACCTCTAATCCCCAGTCCCTTGTGCCTAACGGCCCAAAACCCCCAACCCCAAAACCCGAAAACCCGAAACCCCCAAACCCCAAAAACCCATACGCCCTTTACCCGAAACCCGAAAAGGCCGACAGTCCTACAAACTACAAGCTTTACAGGCCCGAAACCCTAAACCCTACTTTATCCTAAACCCTAAACCCTAAACCTCGCAGACGCACCGTCGCGACGAGGCCACGCAAGCAGCGGCTCCACTACCCCACGACCCCATGAAGTTCATGTCAGGCAGGGGCTCAGGGTTTTAGGGTTTAGGGCTTAGGGTTTAGGGCTTGGGGCTTAGGGTTTAGGGTTTAGGGCTTAGGGTTTAGGGTTTAGGGATCAGGGTTTAGGGTTTCGGGTCCAGGTTTCAGAATTCGATGAGCTTTTCAGAAGTCACCCGAAAGATGTACAGCTCGCCCTGAGCCTCATGAAGTCCCAGTTGGGGGAGACAAGAGGCGGCAGGGTTTAGGGTTTCGGCTTTTGGGTAGGCGCTTGATCGGGTTTAGGTGCTTAGGAGATTATGTTATAAGGCTGAGCGAAAGATGAAGGGCTTGCTTGAGGGTTTGGGGGTTTAGGGGGTTTAGGTGGTTCAGGTTTAGGTTATAGGGTCCGGGGTTCAGTTTAAGGGCTTGCTACAAAGAAACGTGCCCCAAACAGCCTTGAATATACTGGCTCTGAATAGTCAGGAATCGGGGAGTCCCTATACATTCCCTCAAAGGATTATATAGGGGGACAGACCCTAAACCCTAAGCCCTATAAGCCCTAAACCCTAAACCCGACTGCAGGAATGTCCGAGATGCCCGCCACTCCGGCCTACACCTGGGGCGCTGCCGGCACGTCCTTGGCCCACTGCCATGGCGAGAGAACTCAGGGTATAGGGTTTAGGGTTTAGGCTTTACGGTTTAGGGTTTAGGGTTTAGGGTTTAGGGTTTAGGGTTTAGGGTTTAGGGTTTAGGGTAGATAGGGCATAGGCCGGGGTAAGCACAAGTATCGATATGTACATGACGTCATAAGCTTGCAATCAACAGGCAGGCGGGGCTTGCAACACATTCGTAGCCTCTCCTAAACCCTAAACCCTAGACCCTAAACCCTACACCCTAAACCCTAAACCCTAAACCCTAAACCCTAAACCCTAAACCCTAAACCCTAAACCCTAAACCCTAAACCCTAAACCCTAAACCCTAAACCCTAAACCCTCCTCTTGGTGGCTTGCGTGGCCACAGGCATCAGGCTTTTTGGGTACCTATCCCGGTGCATGTGCCTACAGATATCTAGCTAATGGTCGTCAGGTTTAGGGTTTATCCAGGGACTAAAGGAGGGACCCTTACAAGGGGTCTTAGGGGTAATTTAGGGGCTACTTAGGTAAATAGCGACTCTATAAGGTATACAGGGACCATATAAGGTACATACAGGGGTTATATAGGGAGGTTTTCTCCAGTACCGGCACGCGTCGAGCTGAAAGGCCGTGGCGCGTCCGCTTTGCGTTCACCAGATCTCGACTTTAGCGTTTTTCGGTTGTGTTTTTTTGCCCGTTTTGTAAGATGCACATGATCACGTACTGTGATGCTGCGTGTTTTTTGAAGAAGGTAGGATGGCCCAAAGATATGAGATCCTGGATCTGTGTGGCGCTCGAGGGGCAATGTCTGGCTGAGGGTGTGGCTGCATTGCGTCATGCAACCCTTCCTCACATGTGGGAACTCACCGAGGTTTGGGGCCACCGATCCCCGAAAAGAATTTGAGCCCAGAAGTTTCGAGAAAGAATGCCAAAAACCCAAAACCCTAAACCCGAAAACCTGAATCTTGCCACTCAAACCCCTAAACCTCAAAACCTGAATCTTGCCACTCGAATCACTCGAAGCCCGAAAACAGAGCCAGGCGTTTTGCACCCTAAACCCTAAACCCTAAACCCTCAACCTGAATCTTTCACCCGAAGCCCGAAAGCAGAGCCAGGCGTTTTGCAGACCCCGACAGAGACGCCTTATGGCTTCTCTCAATTCCGCCCAGCCTGGTCCTCAGGAGTCAGGGGCTACAAGGGCTTGAGGGCCGAGCCCGGGTTTAGGGTTTAGGGTTTAGGGTTTAGGGTTTAGGGTTTAGGGTTCAGGGTTCAGGGTTCAGGGTTCAGGGTTCAGGGTTCAGGGTTAATTAGGGTTTAGGGTTTAGGGCTTATAGGCTTTAGGGTTTAGGGTTTAAACCTTAAACCCTTAAACCGCCCCGAAAAAAACCTTTAAGCACCTAAACCCTAAACCTTTACACGCCAAAAACAAACCCTTTAAACCCAGAAAACCCTTAACCCGAAACCATGGTGTGTATGGCATCACGGACTGGGTTTTCTTGGGTTTAGGCTTCAGGCTTTAGGGTTTGATAGTTTTTTGGGTTATGCAAAAAAGTTCTGTGAGTTGTCCGATTAGTGCCTAAACCCTGCTGATTAACTTGGTAGCCCAATGGTTCACTTTTGTTCCTTCTATGTTGGTTCAAGGTTCCCTTGTAAAGGTGGCCTTCTAATAATTTGGTTGCCGGGCTACCAAGCCAAACAATTCCCTTAACAAACAACGCCGGGCCCTTGAACTAACCCCCTCCAATGCCCTATAGGCCCAAGACAAGGCGCTAAGCCCGAAGGCCTAAGGCCTAAGGCCCTGAGCCCTAGCCTAAACCCTAAACCCTGACCCCCAAGCCCTAAGCCCTAAGCCCGAAACCTCGAAACGGTCACGTGCCCGGATTTGTGAGTTTCGTGCGACGAGCCCCAACAGCGGTTGGGGTTTAGGGTTTAGGGTTTGGGGTTAGCTTGGTCGTAGTTGGGTATCATTTTGCATTTTTAAGGGTACTTACACTTCAGAGTTTAGAGTTTACAAGGAACCTTGGTACCCTAACCCTAAAAACCCTGGCACCAGCCTCAAGCGGCAAGACCTTCCCAAGACCCGAAAGTTCAATAAGCCCTAAACCCTAAACCCTAAACCCTAAACCCCTGAAAGCCCTAAACAAACGGCTATATAAGCTCGAAACTCCAGCCCCCTGAGCTGCCCTTAAACTTGAAGCCCCGAAAGCCCCCTAAACCGCAGAAAGGAGAGATGGGTTTAGGGTTTAGGGTTTAGGGTTTAGGGTTTAGGGTTTAGGGTTTAGGGTTTAGGGTTTAGGGTTTAGGGCTTAGGGTAGAAGATCCCTTGAAGGAGGATGCACTGGATTTCAGAAGACGGTGACTCTTTCTCGATCGAAGAAAGACCACAAAAACTCGCAAGGGATGGGAGTTTGGAACCAGTTCGACGACAAGCCCGCGTCGACATTCAATGAGGATCTCTACACGACGGAACTTTTCCAAGCTGCCGTCGAAGCTGTCGAGAACGCGGAAAGCATTGCCGCAGAGATCCTATGGCGCTTCTCCTCATGCATGTTTCGCCCGCACAGCTGTTCATGAAGATCTGACGTTTCGAATGCAAAAGGAACCCGCCTTGGCATTTTGGGTTTCATTGGGCGTAAACCCTTTTAGAGGGTTTTAGAGGGTGTTAAACGGGGGGTTTTAGAGGGCCTAGGGTTTAGGGTTTAGTGTTTTCGGCCCCAAGCCTTCTACCCAAATCCTCCATTTAGGGGTTAGGGTTGAGGGTTGAGGGTTTAGGGGGTTTGAGGTTGAAGTAAATTGAATCTGAGGATACAAAAGAGTCTTAAGTAAATTGAAGGAGGGTTGAGGGTTTCAGCAAGCCATCCGCCGCCACAGCAACAGGAGAGTCATTTCCAACCGGAAGTCGGGTGCAGCAACCGGTGGTGCATAAACCCTAAACCCTAAACCCTAAACCCTAAACCCTAAACCCTAAACCCTAAACCCTAAACCCTAAACCCTAAACCCTAAACCCTAAACATTGCAGCAGCGAAACTTCAAGAGGGTTTTGTGTCGCGGGCTCTGAGGGCTTTAAGGTTCTGAGACTTTGGCTTGGTTGCTGTTTTTTGTCCAGGTCTTAGGGTTTGGGGTTTAGGGTTTAGGGTTTAGGGTTTAGGGTTTAGGGTTTAGGGTTTAGGCCTTAGGGTTTCGGGGGTTGCGGTTTCGGGCCTCGAGTTTAGGGACAGTCTACGAAGCTCTGAGGTCACAACTCTGCAGTACCCGCCAACGCCCGCCACCTGGGGAGGGGCTGTTTGTGGAGTTGCGCTCCAGGGGCGTTTGGGGTTTAGGGTTTAGGGTTTAGGGTTCAGAGGTTGGGGTTTAAGGTTCAGGGTTGGGATTTAAGGTTCAGGGTCTAGGGTCTAGGGTTTAGGGTTTAAAGTTCAGGGGTTAGGGTTTTGGGCTGGACGATGCCCTATACGCCAGGCCTAGATCATAGAGTCTGCCAGGTGCTGGGACTTTAGAGGCTTTTAGGGCTTGGGGTTCAGGGCCTTTTTTGGGTTGTAGAGTGCGTATAGCCCGCATATCACCGTAGTTGGGCTTTTGGTACATGCCAGAAATATCGGGGGGGAGACCAAGCCTCTAAACCCAGACCGCAGCGAAGCTTCAATGCTAGGGGCAAACGGGATTGGTTTGTCCAGATCTTCTTAATTTGTTGTGTTTGTTGCAGAATTGGAGGTGCTAGAGTCTTGCGCGGTTCTTGGTTTCAGGGCGTTTGCGCATGAGGGATAAACATGTCTTTGGGGCAAACGCCAAAGCCCAAACCCCCAAGAAAGAACAAACCCAAAAAACCCTAAACCCTCAAAAGCCCTGAGCCCTAAAACCTAAAGCCCCAAAACCCCCAAGACCCACCCCCAAAACACCCTAAACCTAAAGCCCCAAACCCCCACAACCCTAAAGCCCCAAAACCCCCTAAACAACTACACCCCCAAAACCCCCTAAACCCTACACTGGGCCCTACACCCCCAAAACCCCAAAACCCTAAACCCGCAAACCCCCAAAACCCACCCTAAGCCCGCAAAACCCTAAACCCTCCCGAAACCTTAAACCACTTAAGCAAGCCCCAAATCCCGAAGAAGCCACCTAAAACCCCCTCAAAACCCTGAACCCTAAAAACTAAACCCTAAACCCTAAACCCTAGACCCTAGACCCTAAACCCTAAACCCTAAACCCTAAACCCTAAACCCTAAACCCTAAACCCTAAACCCCACAAAATGCCACAAGAAAGGATGGCCACGCCCACTGGGTATGCGGACCCACAGCGAAAGACACTCAGCGTCTCGGCTTGGGGACCCTAAACCCTAAACCCTGAACCCTGAACCCTGAACCCTAAACCCTAAAGCCTAAACCTTAACCCTAAACCCTAAACCCTAAACCCTAAACCCTAAACCCTAAACCCTAAACCCTAAACCCTAAACCCTAAACCCTAGACCCTAAACCTAAACCCTAAATCCCTCCGACGACCTTGCTAGGTAGGGGTGTATCGGGTTTAAGGGTTAAGGTTTTTAGGTTTTTGGGTTTAGGGCTTCCCTTATGGGGTTTCAGAGATTATGATTCAGAGGGTTTAAGAGGGCAACCTAGCTCAAAAGTCCATAAGCGCCCTGCAACTTTGAAAGATCGAAGGGTTTGTGGTTTAGGGGATCCGGGATCAGGGTTCACGGCCTTGAGGGGGAACAGGGTTTAAGGGAACAAGATTTGGGGTTGGGAGTTAGGGTGTACAACAGGTATCTAAACCCTAAACCCTAAACCCTAAACGCTAAACCCTAATGTGAAACGTCGCCGCCGGAGGTCTCCAGGATATGATTCAAAGTCCAAAGGTGGGGCGGGAGGGAGACTGGATTCTTCTTGATCGGGTTTGGGGGTGTAGGGTTTAGGGTTAGGGTTCAGGGTTCAGGGTTTAGGGCGGACTTTGAGGCTCTGGTTTGGGGTTGGGGTTTAGGGTTCAGGGTGCAGATTGCAGAATTTCTGTGACTTCAGTGTACCTCTTGGACACCATCCAATTATGACCCTGTACATCTAAGCCTAGACCCTACGCTCTGAACCCGAAGTGTAAACCCTAAAATCCGCGAGTCATCGGCAATGCTTTGATTCGTAGCCCATCTGTGCCCTTTAGTTCCCGAACCCGAAAACCCAAAACCCCTACCCTAAACCCCCAAACAACTCCCAAAGAGTCGCAGTACCGGAGAACAGCTCAAGGGATTCAGACTCGTACCCCTAAGGTTGTACCCCTAAACCCTAAACCCTAAACCCTAAACCCTATGTAGTTGGCTAGGATACCCCGGCTGGCCAGACTAAGCGACAGCGAGTGCAAGGCGAATGCCTTATTCGCCTTGCTTTTCCCCGTGCATTCGCACACTGCTATCGAAGTTGGTTACGCGGACCCCTTTGATCCATTGGATCGTGGAATGGATGTTGATCAAGCCCCACAAACGAATCACACCGGTCCTAACTTCTTTTGATCAACATTGTCATTCCACAGCCCATTGCACACGAAATGGCATTCATTGCCTGCGTGTTTGTGCAACTCTGTGAAACCTTGTTCATTGAGCGTCCATTGTCCCTTGGTCATGACAAATCTGAGGTAACTGCCACCGACATTCTTTGTCAGCGAATCGGAAATCATATTTCGACCATCGATCCATCGAATCGTTCCGACATCTTCGAGATCTCTTTTCAGGATCGAGACATCGATCGCGGTCCTTTTATCTTCGACTTGACTGTGAGGACATGTTTGTCTTGACAGAGTGTCGTACAAGGACTTAGAATCCGTAACCGCAAGAAAGGACATTCTATCGAGTCGTTTCTCCCAATCCCGGTCCTGCTGTTGGTCGTTCTGGGCCTCCACGAGCAAGAAGCGGTGCCAGTGCACATTGCCGATGCCGGACACGAGGGCCTGGCATTCTGCTGCCAGGGTATTGACCACCTTCCTTTTAAGCCGGTAGCTTTTCCAACTGGCCACCGTCACCTGAGACCAGGGTTCGTACTGCAGGTTGGCATCGTGGTAGATGATGATGTGTCCTCCCTGGCTGCTGGTCCTGGCATTCTGCAAGAAGTGCTCCTGGATGCCCTCGGCCTTGATGCCTTGGTTGTCCTTGTAGAAGACCGTTTTTCCGGTCCATGAGGCCTGATCCTTGGACCTCAGTTTCGTGGACTTGGGCCATTGGTCCCGGTACTGCTTCATTTCTCCGTCTTCATTGAAGTAGGTCTCCCGATCTGGTCGTAGGCGATGAAGGTCTGGTCCGCCAGGTGTCATTCCTGGATGGAACAGTGTTCGTCTGGGACTCTTGTGGAACCGGATCCATTGTGTTTCTGTTTCCACCCAGTAGTCTCCTCGATTCTGCTCCACTGGGTTCTCCTCCATGGCATTGCCCCATGACGCGTCGGTCACCGTGCTGACTCGGAGCCGCTCAATCGGTATCGGTGCTACTCGGATGCCGGCCGGGAAACGAAGAGCTTCTTGGGCCAGTGTATTGGCCTGAACAATGTCCTTGACCCTGGGCTTCGGGAAGCATTGTTGTAACAGGGCCACTCTCCCACAGATATCTGGTCTCGTTTCTTTTGCCAGCCATGCCATGGCTCCAATCAGGGAGCGAAGCCGAGCCACCTCGTCTTCGTTACAGTAACTGTATCGTTGGGCCTTCCGGGCTTTGTCCAGTGGTATCGTCTCGATCTTCTCCTGAAGGTAGTGGTCCTGGTCCACATAGATACTTCCGTCTGGCATGGTCTTGAAGTTCTTGCCGGTGAATCTGCCTTCGCCATACTGGAACTTTCCCAGTTTGTACTTTTTGTTCAGGTACTCCATCTTCTTCATGTGTTGTTCAGTTCCTCCATGAAGCAGATCGTCCGTTGCCACGGCAATGACTCCTTCTAGGCTGTCCCATCCTCTGGCCTGATCGTTGTGTAGGTAGTAGACGCACGGATCGATCACACTCTGGGTGTATCCGAGCTCTTTGGTCAAGACCTTCCGAAGATGTTTAAACCACGCCATCGGGCCATCGACTAAGCCATAGCACGTTTTTGGAAGGCGAAGAAGCTGTCCTTTCTGAAGTCCGGGTATACCTTCTGGGGGTTGTTCGGCGTAGAGTTCTCTTTCGATCGGGTCACCTGAGTGAAAAGCTTGAGTGAAGTCGAGGAAACCAAGCCGGTACCCCTTGCTGGCAATGATCTGGGTGATGGCCATGACACCATCCCGTGTTGCCTGTGGCGTGGCCGCGTCAAACTCCTCTGCCCCATTCTCCGAGAAGCCTTTCATGACATGGCGAGCCTTGGCCTTGCATGGTCCTCCGAAATCTTCCTGGAGGAGTAGCTCATCAGCCTTTGCCTTGTCAATGTCTCCAGGTTCCAGGGGTTTGGCAGTTCTGACAAACCGGGACTCCATGATGCGTTCGGATCTTGTTCGTCGTATCCTGTCGCTCTCCTCCGGGGTCAGGACTTCATACGCCTTGGTCTCCAGGTTGTTGTTCACCTCCTTCGACGCTGCCCGCAGAAAGCATTCGAGATCGTGCTTGTTGAGATCCTTGAGCTTGATCTCCTTCCGTTGCCGGGCCTTGAAGAGGGTCTCGAGCTTGGCATAGTAGATTTCCAGTAGCTGAATCCTGGACCTTTTCGTCGGGGGTTCGTTGTGTTGGTCGGTCTCCTCCAGGTTTTCCCAGTGTCTGATCACTCCCGAAGAGGACGATGGCTGTCCTGATTCTCGATCCTGCTCTTCCTGGTCGCCATTGACCAGGGTCTCTTCCCGTTGTTCTGACTCTGCTTCATCATTTCCTTGTCCTGCATGAACTGGCTGTTGCAATAGCATAGGATCGGTCTTTCGACGAACCCGACGGGTAACCTCTGGTGGCCTGTCGAGTGGCTCAGTCCTGTCGCCCGTTGACTCCTCCTTGTCCTCGGGGTCTTCTTCCGGAAGATCTGGTAGAGGCTCGGTGCTGAGATCCAAATAACCTCGTCGAGGATCCCGTTCGAAATCCTCCCTGGCCTTCGTCAAGCCATCCAACCAACCAGATATGGTCAGTCTTTCCTCCTCGCTTGCTGGTCGAACCCTTTCCGGCGAAGCCTTGACGATGCCTCCTGGTAGCTTAACCATAGAGTCGAGGGCAAGTCCGTCATGATGATCCGGGCCGGTCCGCACCATAAATCCGGGAGCTTTCTTCCTTTCTTCGAATGTCCGATCCGGTAGAAGTACACCATCTGCCCAGCTTCATATTCGGCTTGTGGTCTTGGTCCGGCATGAAGAACGTTTCGGAGTGCTTGATCACAATCAGCCTCGAAGAATCCCTTGGCCGCCGCCTTTCTCATCTCCATGGCCTCGATCATCTTCCGGTCCCCCACCAATGTTGGGTGACTGGCTTCCAAGTCGACAGTGTCACTCGATAGCAGACCTCCTGGTAGCCGAGGAAGATAACCTAGGACCCGTTGTACTGGAGAATAGCCTCCTCTGTTCGTCATCCGGTTTTTGACCATGATCGCTGTGTCCACCATCATCTTCCATTGTTCATTCGTGGTGCAGGGCTTTTCTGCCAGGGCCTTGGCCAAGATGACCTTGAAGGTTTTTCCATGTCGCTCGGTCACTCCCCGTTGGAAGGGGGATTCCAAGGAACTTGGCTCCACATGAGTCCCTTCCTGGGTAGCTCTTGACCGAAACACACCTTTGAACTCCGGACCCTGGTCGATGTAGAGCTGGCGAGGGGGGCCGAAGACCCGTGTCCATTGTTGGTACGCCAGCCAGGCCGCTTCAGGGTTTGCACTCCGAATCGGAATGATCATCTGGAAGTGTGATGACAGGTCGATGATGTTCAGCGCCAGCTTCTTCTCGGTGCCCTCATTGGTAGGTAGCCACAGGGTGTCGAGCCCGACGATCTCGTTGACCCCGTACTCCTTGGGTGGTGCCGCTCGTCTCTGTGGCCTGGTCTCATCAAATCGTCTGCACACACTACACTCCATCTCCTGGGCGATCTTGATGATCTCGTCCCCGGCTTTCGCTGCCTTGAGGATCCGACAAAAGCGATCCTTATGTGGGTGTCCCAGGCCGTTGTGCGCACGCCTTACCAGGGCCTTGAGCATCTTGGTTCGATCTGGATCTTCTTCTCCTGGTGCTTGTTCGCGTCCTTCATCTGGATCTGGTCGCGGTACTCCTTGATCTGGATCTTCATCTCCTGGTGCTTGTTCGCGTTCTTCATCTGGACCTGGTGGTCGGTCCTGTTCTGCTCGTACATCTCCTCCGGACTCGTGCTCATTGTGCAGGACTTCGTGTCGGCCCTGTTGTAGTGCACGTAGCTCTTGCGACAGGCTCCTGGAAAGATTCAGAGTCTCGTAGGCCTGTTCCCTGTAGTCGAACTGGTAGACCTTCGCGATGGCGATTCCCAGCGTGATGGAGAGGAACTGCCTTGCCGCTGCCATGGCGGCTGTTAGATCCTTGCTTACAACCCTAGTGACATAAAGGGCTTCGTCTCCGTTCTGCTTCCTATGGTGAGCATGCGATTCCTTGCCGGGTGCCGGGCGATTAGGCTCGGCAAGCATACATGACACCTGCAGTTTCTGGCAAAACTGAGCAATGTCCTGGCAGACACAAACTTCGGACCCCCCCTGCCACACAACGCCAAGATCTGGCTTCCATCTTTTCAGGTGTTCTAGCTCGCTTTCTGGGGGTCCTTTCAGGTTCTCGGCCTTCACCAAACAAATGCAACCTGTCGTTCTTGGGGTTTCTCTGGGCGGCCTAACAAGATATCGACACTCATGAATGGGCAAACCTGTCAATCTCTGCAGCTGATGGTGCTGTCCCTGTTTTTCTTCTTTGGGCTGCAAAGCTCGCAAAACTAGCTGACCTTTGGGATCCCTTAATAGTTCTTCAGTGCATATAATGCCGAAAAGATCGTGCCATCGCCTTTCGGTCTTACGAAGGGCCTCCCTAATCTGTCGTCTCTTTCGACGACTCAAGTCAGCACCCTGCTCCTCGATGATGTCGTTCATCGCTGCTGTTCTCGCCGCCATTCCAGGTACTCGGCATAGTCCTCGGCCACCGTCGGCATCCCTGCTGGTGATGGAGTCGTCGAGCCGGTCCTTGTCGGTGTCGCTTGCTGCTGCTTCCGGACAAACTTGGTCACCTTGTAGCAAGTCCGGCATCGCTCTCGATCGACAAAGTGGTTGCAGCCCGACTTCACCTTGTACTGATGACCGCATACTTGCTGCACCATGTGACACAGAAGTTCTCGAGGTGAGTAACGACTCCCCATGGGCTGCACCGTGTCGCGGAGGGCCTTGTAGTGGTCGGCTGTCAGCGGTTGCACCGCCGTCCACTGGAAGAACCGACACTGATCCTTGCCCGGCGGGTTGTGACATCGCCAAAACGTCCTGAGGTAGTTCTCGTTCTGCTTGAGGGTGACCTCCACGCCCGCTGTCCGGTCGCAATGGCACCTGGGGATCTGGTCGAACAAGATCTCCGCTCCGAGGCGTAGTACGTTCTCTTGCAGGTTCTTGTCCTGGAGGTTCTCGGTCGGCGGGTTCTCCTCCTCCTGGAAGTTGACCATCTCGAAGTCCACCAGGCTTCCCACATCGGAGCTGGCCTCCGACTCGGTCCGCTGGCTTCGTGCTCGGGCTTGACGGTTTTCTCCTCGTGTCTGTGGTGTCCGTGACCCGCTGGACGAGCTCGATCCTTTGGGTCGCATCGGCCAGGACTCCTTCAGAGTCGGTGGTCCCTGCCATCCCATCTTGGGTGTTGATGGTGCTGCCCAGTCCGACGTCGGTGTCGTTGGTTGGCTCCTTGTCGGTCCTTTTGGGTCTCGGTTGTCGTTCATGTCCAGGAAGTTCTGGTACTGGTCCTCGTGCTGCTTCCGGATCGTCGTGGTGATTTCCGAGTGGAGCTCCATGAAGGCTCGCAGGGGGAGTTCTTCCCACTGTTCTCGCACGACCTCGTAGGCTTGCACCACCGACGGTCGAAAGAAGCTTTGGATCAGCCGAAGCACCGGTCGCACGATGAGCGACAGCTTGATGACCATTCTGGTCCACGACTTGACGATCCACCAGGTCCTCAGCTCCGCCGCGTCTTCCCGTGCCCGCTTGCTCGGCGAAGGAATCATGGCCACGAGGATCGCGTTGTCCAGGGGAGCGTCGGTGATCGGCTTGAAGCGCTGGAGCGGCTGAGGTTGCATGGAGGTTCAGGACCTCAAACTCGTTCGACAGACTGTCCTGTATCCTACCCTCCGCTTGCCTCAGGTGCAACAACATCCTTGGGGTAAAACTGTTCAGGGGGATCCTAAGAGCTCCGGACGGACCAAATCGAATCGGAACCTTAACCCCAGTCCCAGACAAGTACAGACATGGTTCTTCGAGTTCGAGATGAATCACAGCTTTGCAATGTCGAAGGAACTTGAGGGAGATCAGGAATGGAGCGGTTCGACTGTGTTCCCCTTCGAAGACGGCTGGTTTGAGGTAACAGCCTTTTTGACCAAGACTACAAGGAATCACGGCGTTGTAGCTAGTTTCGGAAATCCCATGGACCGATCGAAACCTGTTTCTTTCAGATTGCTTAAACCACTTCAACGCTTCGGGCCAGTGTCGTTTCATTCGGTTGAGGGTCTCGATTCCGACTGCGGTTCGTTGACAACCGGTGTCGATGGTAGCGTAGGCATCATCGTCTGACACATACTGCTCTTCACTAAACATGACATCGTTAGACCTTCGGGACATATATGCTCGCTCATCCGTGGGCTCCGAAGTGCAGGAGGAAGGCTCCCCCTTTCCGTAGCCCTTTGGCTCTAAACTATCAGCGGAATCAAAAACTCCTTCAGGATCGAAGGTGGTAGAGGTCGCTGGAGGGATCGTCTCCTCCAGGAAGTGGCAAAACATCACGTCGTCGTCATCCTCGATCTCGAGCTCGAGGAGGTGAGCTGAATGGGCCGTTGCCTCATTGGATGCTGAAGGCGGATTCGTGCACTCCTTCTTCCAGTGCCCAATCTTCCCACATCGTCGGCATCTGGTTCTCTGCTTCAGCTCCGTAATGCTCATCTTGTACATGCCCGGCCGGATCGGTCCTTGCCCTGTTCCTCGGAGAGGTCGTTGTCCATAACCTCTGCTGAGCTCCTTGTCCTTCTTGATCTGGGCCGACTGCATGTAGGTCTTCTTTCGTTCTTTTACCATCATGGCCAAGATCTCAGCGGCTTCGTTTTCCTCGAAGACCCCGAGCTCGTCGTCGAAGTCCTGGGCCTGATCCTCGACCAAGTCCGCCAAGTAGTGCTCCATCTCCTGGAGCTCCTCGTCCTCCTTCGGGTTCTCTGTCTCCTCGGGTGGCTCCATCAGGTGAATCCCTGAAGTCGACTTGGTCCTGGTAGCCGTGGAGCTCTCCGAGCCGAGGTGGGACGCCTGGAGCTTGGCCTCGTTCTTCCGGAGCCATTTCTTCACCTCAAGGGGCTCGATGGATCCGTGGGTGTAGTTGAGCAAGGCCTTGATGTCGTTGTCCGTGAGCTGCAGGGCGTTGATCAGCAGGAACCCTTTATAGATGCTCGGCAAGTTCACCTTGTGCTCTGCCACCTTTCTTTCCGCTGCCTCCCATCGTGCCAGGAACTGCCGCGCCGACTCTTGTCGTTGCCTCTTCATGTGGTAGGTCACCCTGGCAAGCGATGCCAGCAGGTGCTCCTCCTGGTCGTCGCCGTAGTACTCGGGGGTGTTCATCTTGTCCAGGAGGATGTCGGCATTGGTCGGGTCTTGAAGCCATGCCACGTCCTTGGCAAGGTGTTTGAAGTCCTGGAAGGGAGTGTCGGCGAGGGCCTTGAGTAAGAGGGGTCCGCGTGTGCGAGGCCTCGCCTTGGTTGTGCTTACCCATAGCTTCGCTCTGATCAGGTAGTCCTCGAACGGGGTGCTCGTCCCATCCCAGGCCGGTGGAGGGCCTGCGTTCGTCCTGAAGCTGCTGTCGCCGTCCTCATCGTCCTCATCTTCTCGTCGCCTCATTCGCCCACTTGCTCGGCCTTGTCTTTGCTCCCGGAGCCACCGCCGGAACAGGGCCACTTCTTCATCATCGTCTTCTCGGCGTAGTGGGGAAAAACCTGGCGGTCTATCCGAGGCGAATCCGGACTGCCTCTCGTCATGGCTGTCGCTTCCCGGCACCGGAACTTCCATCGGGTCGGGTGCTTCCCGGCTCATGACTACTGTACACTTGCTGTAGCTTAGCTGGTCCAGCCACTATACCCAAAAACCGCCCCCGGAACTAAACCGAAGGCTCCGCTACCACTGTAGTTGGCTAGGATACCCCGGCTGGCCAGACTAAGCGACAGCGAGTGCAAGGCGAATGCCTTTTCCCCGTGCATTCGCACACTGCTATCGAAGTTGGTTACGCGGACCCCTTTGATCCATTGGATCGTGGAATGGATGTTGATCAAGCCCCACAAACGAATCACACCCTAAACCCTAAACCCTAAACCCTAAACCCTAAACCCTAAACCCTAAACCCTAAACCCTAAACCCTACAGGCTCCCCTCAGTATACTCCTAACATGGCCCCTATATTACTCCTTAGGGATCCTTAAAAAGGGACCCCAGAACTCAAGGGTACAACCTTAAGGGTCCAAGGTTTAGGGTTTAGGGTTTAGGGTTTAGGGTTTAGGGTTTAGGGTTTAGGGTTTAGGGTTTAGGGTTTAGGGTTTACCCCGAAGGCTATCGAGGGATTTGGGTAGAGTTTAGGGTTCAGGAGGGTTTCGGATGTCACCCTAAACCCTACATTAACCCGAACGCCTGCTTTTCTGGGGTGACCTAAGAATCCTGTAAGGGGCCTTATGGTAAACACCTACCAGCAAAGCAGGCGTTGGGTCCTTCAGGTTCAGAATTCTTCAGGGTAAGGTTTAGGGTTTAGGGTTTAGGGTTTAGGGTTTAGGGTTTAGGGTTTAGGGTTTAGGGTTTAGGGTTTAGGGTTTAGGGTTTAGGGTTTAGGGTTTAGGGTTCAGGGACGCCTGACGCCCCAAGCATAAGCCCAAGAAGGCTGGAAGATTCGAACCCCTGAGGCCCTGAACCCAAGGCCAGTTGAACCCCAAACCCTAAATCCTGAACCCTAAACCCTGAACCCTAAACCCTAAACCCCAGCTTCCACTTTCATCCTAGCAAGCTGCAGAACTCTCAACCTTAAGAATGTAGGGTTTAGGGTTTCGGGTGTTAGGGTTCAGGTTTTTTGGGGGTGTTCAACCCTAAACCCACGAACCCTAAAGGGCCTAAGTACCTCAACCCCCAAACCGTAACCCCAAACCCTGGAATGCTGGCAGGTTGAAGACAAAGCGGCGCTGTTGCACTCAACTTACCAGCAGCTCTACCAGGCCACTGAACCTTAGGGTTTAGGGTTTCGGGTTTAGGGCTTTTTGCATGGGTTCCGGTGCTACCCCCCTCTAAACCCCCCCTAGGGCTTTCTAGTACCCCCCCCCCTACATGACCTTAATTATTAATCAGGCCTAGTATGAGTGGGGCAGTAGCCCTAAACCCTGAACCCTAAACCCTAAACCTTGCGGGGGGGGGGGGGGGGGGGTAGTAGGCGAACTCATGATTGTTGGAACCTCAATACAGGGTTGGTTTCGAGCCCAACCAAGGAGGGGGGGGGGGGGAAGGGAAGGGGCGACGTGGTGCTAAGGTTTTCAGGTTTTGGGGGTGTAGGGTTTAGGGTTTAGGGCTTCGTGTAAGTTGTCAGGTTGCGGGCTTAGGGAAACTTAACATAGGATCGCTTATGAAACCCCAAACCCTACCCCCCCCCCCACAAGAAAGGACAAGAAAGGAAATGAAGGATCGTAGGATGCCCATAAACCCTAAACCCTAAACCCTAAACCCTAAACCCTAAACCCCAAACCCAAACCCCTTCACCCGCGCCCGAATGTAGAAAGCCCCAGGTACCGCCGTACGGCCCTCCTCTGCCGCAGGCTGGGAAACGTGGGCATGTCGGGGAGTGGCGTCATAGTAGGAGAGTTTAGGGTTTAGGGTGTAGGGTTTAGGGTTTAGGGTTTGGGGGTTTGGGGTTTGGGGTTTGGGGCTTAGAGTTTAGGGTTTAGGGTTTAGGGTTTTAGGGTTTAGGGGTTTAGGGTTTAGGGTTTGGGAGCGTTCAGTCACGGCTTAGGGCTCGGGGTGTAAGGAGTGCTTGGGGCTTAGGAGGGCTTCGGTCTTAGGAGGGTTTAAGGCTTAGGAGGGTGTAGGGTTTAGGGTAGTGGTCTCTGAGCTCTGCAGCCACACACAACTCCCTGAAATCCGACCCACAGCACATGCGGCACTCGTCCAGGGTTCAGGTTTTAGGGTTTATAGGTTTAGATTATGGTTTATAGGTTTTTGGGCTTTGGGTTTCGGGTTTAGGGTTTCTGGCGCTGGGCCCTGGTAGAATAGAAGCTTTCAGGGTTCCAGAACATACGTTGCCACAAGAGGGACATACCGCAAACCCGAAACCCTACACCCTACACCCCAAACCCCACACCTTAAACTAAACCCTAACCCTGACCCCTAAACCCTAAACCCCTAAACCCTAAACCCTAAACCCTAAACCCTGTGAAGCTTGATTGAGGCTGCCCCGCCCTACGCCGTGCCAGCTGGGCCTCCCGCACCATTCTCGGCCTTGTGATGCGTTGCATCCCTTTTGCCGCCTCTTGGGGTTTAGGGTTTGGGGATTTTGGGTTTGGGGTTTAGGGTTTGGGGTTTTGGGTTTTGGGGTTGAGGGTTTGCGGTTCAAGGGTAAACCATCCTTCCTCTCGATCTCTCTCTCTCTCTCTCTCTCTCTTTGTGGTTGGCTAGTTATATTTCTACCTCTCTCTTTCCCTCTCTCGTCTTGTTCATTTGTGTTTCTGTTACCCTTTCCTCCCTCCCTCCATCTCTCACTCTCTCTCTCTCTCTCTCTCTCGCTCTCTCTCTCTCTCTCTCGCTCTGGCTGTCTCTCTCTCTCTCTCTCTCTCTCTCTGGCTTTGCAACGTTTGCGTGTTCAACCCAGTCCAGCGGAGATCTGGGCAGATCTTTCTCATGTTGTTGCAACCCTAAGCCCGAAGCCCTAAAAGGGTTCAGGCTTCAGGGTTTAGGGTTTAGGGTTTTGTACCCTAAGCCCATTGGGCTCTTGCTAAATGTCGTTTGTGTGACGAGTGTAGGGTTTGTAGGTCTTTTTGGGTTTTTGGCCCTTGAGGTTCATGTACTAGACCCAAAAGAAACCTAGAAAAGGGGCTTATAAGAGAACCTAAAGCCAAAGAAACAGGGAATAAGAGCCTCCTCTGGGTCCAAGTTCGGGGTTTAGGCTTCAGGGTTCAGGGTTTCGGGTTTAGGGTTTAGGGTTTAGGGTTTAGGGTTGTTTAAGGTGTTAAAGGGTGCTTTGTAGGGTTTTTTAGGCTTTTAGAGGGCTCTCAGGGTTCGAGGTTCCTCCTTACACCTCCCGTGAACCCTTAGCCCTAAACCCTAAACCCTAAACCCTAAACCCTAAACCCTAAACCCTAAACCCTAAACCCTAAGCAGGTCCACTACGCCGAGCCGCCTCTCAACACTCTTCCGCCCCTGCAGCAGGCGACGCCTACTCCCACGCCCGTTTCAGGGTTTAGGGTTTAGGGATTAGGGTTTAGGGATTAGGGTTTAGGGATTAGGGTTTAGGGTTTTCGGTTTAGGGTTGGTCGTGAAGCCCTTTGAGGCTCTAGACACCCCCGAAGCCCTGAACCTGGGGGAACCATAAACCCTGAACTGTGATCCCAAGCCCGAAGCCCTAAACTCCTAACCCTGAACTCCCCCCCCCCCCCCCCCCCAACCCTCAACCCCAAACCCTAAACCCTAAAACCTGAAGTTCCAAATCCTAAAGCCTAAACCCTGAACACTTTGTTCAGGAGGTGTTCTGAACTTCCCCGAAGGCCCTGGGTTTAGGGTTTAGGGTTTAGGGTTTAGGGTTTAGGGTTTAGGGGTTTAGGGCCCAGAAGTGCACCCAAAAAGCCCAGGGGCCTGGGATTTGGGGTTGAGGGGCGGTTTGCGGCTTAGAGGTGTTTTTTGTTGTTGTTGGTTGGTTTTTGCGGTTTCGGGCGCTTCCGCTTCTTTGTCCCTAAACCCCAAACCCCAAACCCCAAACCCTAAGCCCTAAACCCTAAACCCCAAACCCCAAACCCTAAACCCTAAACCCTAAACCCTAAACCCTGAACCCTAAGGAAGTTGGGGGTTTAGGTTCCCTTGGACCGTTAAGCCGAAAAGGGTACCCGTTTTGTTCCTAGATAGGTTACTTTTGGGTCACCCTAGACCCTAAACCATAAGCCCTAAGCCCTAAACCCTAAACCAAAAACCCTAAACTCTATACCCTATACCCTATACCTTATACCCTAAAACCCTAAACCCTAGACCCAGGCCCTAAACCTTAAACCCTGCAACCTTCTGAGGCTTCTAGGCTTTTGAGCCTTTAGGCCTTTGGGTTTAGGGTTTAGGGTTTAGGGGTCAGGGTTTAGGGTTTAGGGTTTAGGGTTGCATGGTCCCTTAACATGGGCCAAGCCATACTGCAGAACCCTTTGGGGAAGGTAAGGGACCAGATTCAGGGGCCATCTAACCCAAACCCTAAACCCTAAACCCTAAACCCTAAACCCTAAACCCTTAGATTGGGGTGCGCAGGCGCCCCTAGCGATGCCTCCACCCGCGGCTTTTGGCCTGCAAGAGTTCAGGGTTTAAGGTTTAGGGTTTAGGGTTTAGGGTTTAGGGTTTAAGGTTTAAGGTTCAGGGAGTTTAGGGGGTTTAGGGGGTTTAGGGTTTAGGGTTTAAGGATTCAGGGAGTTTAGGGGGTTTAGGGTTCAGGGTTTAGGGTTTAGGGGGTTTAGGGAGTAAGGAGTTTAGGGAGCTTGGGGAGCTTAGGGAGCGCAGGGTTCAGGGAGTTTAGGGTTTAGGGAGTTTAGGGCTTAGGGTTTAGGGTTAGGGAGTTTACGAAGTTCAGGTTTCGGGGTCAAGCGTTGAAAGGGTTTAGGGTTCAGCGGAGGGCGTGGGGGCAGCAAGCCTCTCTTTTTTTGGTTCTGCGCCGACCCGAAACCCGAAACCCTAAACCCTAAGCCCTAAACCCTAAACCCTATATAACAACCCTGAACTCTAGACCCTAAAAACCCTAAAACCCTAAAAATCCCAAAAACCCTAAACCCTAAACCCCAAACCCTAAACACTAAACCCTAAACCCTAAACCCTAAAAACCCCTAAAACCCCTAAACACCCTAAACCCTAAACCCTCTATTAAGGACTGTTAGTACAAAGGGGAACATCCCAAATCCTACGCCCTACACGCCGTCGGTAGTCAGAACCTCGACGTGGCTTCAAAGGGTCATTCCATAGGGTTTAGGGTTAGAGTTTAGGGTTTAGGGTTGTCCTTGCCAACTCTCAGTAGCCTTCCAGCCTAGTTCAATTCTACAACCCTAAACCCGAAACCTATGCTCTGAACCCTGAACCCCAAAACCCATGCCCTACCAAGAAGAGTTTGGCGCTTAGGCGTCTTCAAGTGGGCATTCACGGCATGGGTTCTTTGCAGGTTTGGGGGGGGGGGGGGGGTGGTTGAGGCTATCCTAAACCCTAAACCCTAAACCCTAAACCCTGAACCCTCAGCGATTCGGGTGTTTCAGCTGCAGGATCTTGAGGCCGACGGGAAAAGCTAACTTGCTGGGAAGTGGGGTGCGGGGGACAGGGGCACCATCAACCCTAGCCACATAATCCTAAACCCTAAACCCTAAATAAACCCTAAACCCTAAACCCGAAGCACCCGTAAACCCTGAAGCCCCTGGGGGTGTTCGGCCCAGGCTTTGCACACCCTGCCACCGCAGGCGAGGAAAGCTCGGGATCTCTCCTCTACTAGGACCCGGAGTAGGCCCTTATTAGGGTTGGGGGTCCCTTAGAATCCCCTCCAAACCAAAAAAGGGTACCCTGTTTATTCCTATAGTAGAGGCCAAAAAGTTGGAAACTCAATAGCCTCAATCCCTAAGAGTAAAGTATAGGGAAACCAAGCACTATGGGTCCTTCAACAGGTTTCCAACTTTTAAGGGTCTGGGTCTGGTCTAGGGTAGCAACATGGTCCCTTATAGTATGGTCTCTGGCCTTTTTTCAAGCGCTCTGAATTATGGGCGCTTGTGCTTTCTAGGGCATATAAGATATACGCTCTGTTTTTCAACATTGCGGGCGCATACTATGGGCCGCTGTAACGACCCTAAGACCTAAAGTAAGAAGTGCTAGGTACTCTTTTGCACATTTCGGGTTTGGGGTTCCTCTTGGATAACAGCAAAACCCAGGGCAGGCCCAATTTTAGGAGAAGTTGTAGGGTTCTTAAAGGGGGGGGGGGTCATTCATGGGTGGTAGGTACCTAGGGGACCTTAGGGAAGCTTAGGGAGCCTTAGGGAGTAGTAGGGAGTATTATGAGGGAACCTTGGGTTGCCCGAAACCCTAAACCCTAAACCCTAGGAAGCTTTCAAGGCTTTGGGATTCAAGTTCCATGCCAGGGGCCCATGCACGAGCCGCCCATCTACGCGGTACCCACGGTGCCTGGAGTCCCTTGGCTGGTGACCTTCCCGTCTACAGGGTTTAGGGTTTAGGGTTTAGGGTTCAGGGTTTAGGGTTTAGGGTTTAGGGCTTCGGGTGCAGCAGCTCATGTACTAGCTTTTACCAGTCGAGCTTTTTCATCGTGTGATGGGGAAGTACCCACCCACCCAGAGAATCCCATGACATTAAGAGCCACGGTTTAGGGTTCAGGGTTTAGGGTTCTCATTTTCAGCTGCACCTTAACCCCAGCTGAAACCTCTCTAAGGCCTTGAAGCCTTCACACCCTGAATCCCAGGCCTTGAGGCCCTGAAACCCTAAACTCCAGGCCTTGAGGCCCTGAAACCCGAAACCCCAGGCCAAGAAACCCTGAAACTCTAACCCTGGAGCTGAAGCACGAAAAAAAATGGACCTTGCCCACGACGAAATGGACCTTGCCCACAAACACCTCTAAGGTTTAAATATACATATGAAAGAGAGCTTTAGGGTTTAGGGTTTGGGGCAAGACCCTAAAGCCCGGAAACCCCAAAACATCCTGTAACTTCCTGAAACCCTGAAACTCTGAAACCCTGAAACCCTGAAACCCTGAGCGGCCTGAGGCCTGTGGCATTTGGATAGGGTTGAAGGTTTTCAGGGATTTTAGGGTGTTTAGGTTTTTTTAGGGTTTTCAGGTTTTTTAGGGTGTTTAGGTTTTTTGGGGTTTGTAGGGTTTTGGGTTTTTTAGGGTTTTCTAGGGTTTTTAGGGTTTACAGGGTTTATAGGGTTTATAGCGTTTATAGGGTTTATAGGGCTCCTCGTTTATAGTAGCTCCCACAAAAAGGTACCCGCCCCCCCCCCCCCCCCATTTTCGAAGACCCCAATCTTTAGGGTTTAGGGTTTAGGGTTTAGGGTTTATCTTAGGCCCCTGGCACTCCGCCGCTTTACCCGCAGCCGATGATGGGACAGGCGCCAACCTGTGCAACCTTTGAGGGCTTAGGGTCCAGCCTTGGGGCTTCGGGAGGTTTAGGGTTTAGGGTTTAGGGTTTAGGGTTTAGGGTTTAGGGTTTAGGGCCTATACTTGGAGGTTCATGGTACCTATGATCCAACTATAACCATACTAGGGCGTTTAAGGGGCCTATCAGTGGGTTCTAAGTACAGTTATAGTTGGTTAATAAGTACCATGAACCTCCAAGTATAGGGCTGAACGTCGATGTAGGGTTTAGGGTTTCAGGTTTAGGGTTTGGGCTTTATAGGGTTTAGGTTTAAGATTTAGGGTTTAGGGTTTCAGGTTTGGGGTTTGGGGTCTAGGGTTTCAGGTTTAGGGTTTAGGTTTTGAGGCGCAGGGTGTTTTATGGTTTGGGGTGCAGGGCGTAGGGCTTGGCGCGTAGGGTTTTGTAGGGCTTCTAGGGTTCAGGGTGCCTCTCACTGTCCAAGAAACACTGCGCGCAAGACGTGCGCAAGTTGTAGAGTTGTTATGGGAAGGGGGTTCAACGGGGGGGTAGGTACCTAGGGAACCCTATACCCTAAACCCTAAACCCTTAACCCTAAACCCTAAACCCTAAACCCTAAACCCTAAACCCTTAGCCTAGGGAACCTTAGGGAAGCTGAGGGATCCTTGGGTAGTAGTGGGGAGTATCAGGGAACCTTGGGTTACATACCCCTACAAGGGATAGCTTGTCCGACATGGCGCGATCCAGCGTGCCTTCCTTGAGCTCGGTTGCGTCTCGTCTGTGCTTGTCATGGAGGCCCTAAACCCAAGAACCCTAAACCCTGACATTCCCCAAACCCTAAAAAGCAGCTAAACCCGAAACCCTAAACCCAAGAACCCTAAACCGTGTAGGAATGTCCCTTAGGAAGTCTGGCTTTGTCTTGGTGTCCCTAAACCCTAAACCCTAAACCCTAAACCCTAAACCCTAAAACCTAAACCCTAAACCCTAAGCCCTCAGCCCTAAACGCTAAACCCTAAACCCTAAACCCTAAACCCTAAACCCTAAACCCTAAACCCTAAACCCTAAACCCTAAACCCTAAACCCTAAACCCTAAACCCTAAACCCTAACCTAAACCCTAAACCCTAAACCCTAAACCCTAAACCCTAAACCCTAAACCCTAAACCCTAAACCCTAAACCCTAAACCCTAACCCGAAACCCGAAACCCCAAACCCTAAACCCTAAACCTAAACCCAAAACCCTTCGCAGGGCCCTGGTACGCCGCCACCCTTGTACCCAGCTCAGCCGATGCCGGGCCCCATTCCGGCCCAGGCAGGTGTCTGAGATGCTGGAGGAAGGTTTAGGGTTTAGGGTTTAGGGTTTAGGGTTTAGGGTTTAGGGTTTAGGGTCTAGGGTGTAGGTTTTAGAATTTAGGGTTTAGGGGTTAGGGTTTAAGGTTTATGGCTTAGGGTTTAGGCCTTAAGGTTCCAGGGTTTAGGGTTTAGGTTTTTACGCCCAAAGTTTTTTTTTTTTTTTTTTTGGGGGGGGGGGCTCCTAGAAGAGTCTTTTCTTGTGCCCGGGGCTTACTAGGAGTGCCCCATTTGGGTTTTCTGTAGGACTTTTAGGTTTAGGGTTCAGGGTGATTTAGGGTTTAGGGTTTCGGGTTTCGGGTTAGGGTTTAGGGTTTAGGGTTTAGGGTTTAGGGTTCAGGGTTCAGGGTTTAGGGTTCAGGGTGATTTAGGGTTTAGGGTTCAGGGTTTAGGGTCATTAAGGTTTGACGTTTTAGTGGTTTAGGGTTTAGAGTCCACCGACAAAACATTCACATTGAACGGGTACCAAGCGAGTGGAACAGGGATGGTGTACTAGAGACGCTCAGACTGCCAAAAACGGTATCAGATGGACCCGGAGCGGGGCTAGACCCTAAACCCTAAACCCTAAACAAACCCTAAACCCTAAACCCTAAACCCTAAACCCTAAACCCTACATCTGCAACCCCAGACCCTACGCCCATGTCACAGTCCTAAGTCTCCACCTGCGCAGCCTGGCACTCCGCCCACGGTCTTCGCGCCAGCGCCCTTACAGGCGGGTATAGGCTTCAGGGTTTAGGGTATAGGGTTTTAGGGTTTAGGATTTTAGGGTTTTAGGCTTTTAGGAGTTTAGGGTTTTAGGGGTTTCGGGGTTTTGGGGTTTTCGGGTTTTGGGGCTTTTGGGTTTTTGGGTTCTAGGAATTTAGGGTTTTAGGGTTTTAGGATTTTGGGGTTTTAGGGTTTTAGGAGTTTAGGGTTTTAGGGTTTTAGGGGTTTGGTTTTAGGGTTTTAGGGTTTTTGGGCTTTTGGGTTTTTTGGTTCTCGGAATTTAGGGTTTAAGGCTTTTAGGGGTTTGGGTTTTAGGGTTTTAGGAGTTTAGGGTTTTAGGGGTTTCGGGGTTTTGAGGTTTTAGTCTTTTTGGGCTTTTGGGTTTTTGGGTTCTAGGAATTTAGGGTTTTAGGGTTTTAGGATTTTAGGGTTTTAGGGTTTTAGGAGTTTAGGGGTTTAGGGTTTTAGGGTTTTAGGGTTTTAGGAGTTTAGGGTTTTAGAGTTTTTGGGCTTTTGGGTTTTTAGGTTCTAGGAATTTAAGGTTTTTGGGTTTGTGGGGTTTTTGGGGTTTTTGGTTTGAGGGTTTAGGGTTTTAGGCTTTTAGGGGTTTAGGGTTTTAGGGTTTAGGGTTTTAGGGTTTGGCGTTTTAGTTCTAGGTAGGCATTTCACGACGTGCTACACGTTAGCACGCCACGTTGCACGGATTGCCACGTTAGCGTGATTCATTTCACTTGCTCCCACGTGTAACATTTCCCGAGCGGCACGTGTTATAGCAGAAACGATCATTCCGAAATCGATGCTGGCACGTGTAACAGCTGGCGTGAAATCTTGTCGTTGTTGACATGGGCTGTGTGACGTCTACGGCAGGCCCAAGTGGAGAGCAGGAGTTGTGAACAGAAGTTCCAGAGCTGCGAAACACATGAGCAGACAAGACCCATGAGGGATTTCCAGTGCCTGAGCATCTTCTTGTTTGAGGGTCGAGGCCATGGGGCGCCGCGGCTTTGACAATCGCAACAACAAGCATGTCATGGAGCTGCTCGTCCCAAGTCACCTCGTGCTGCTGCAGCCTGGGGAATCCAAGAGGATCAACTTGCACTACGGCGGCCACGAGAGCTTTGAGGTCCCAGGAACGGCGAAGTGCGGGCGATACAAGTGCAGGCATTGCCCGGCCTTTTTCAGCGGTGATGCACGCAGGGCTGCTCGGCATTATCTGCCCACGGGACTTCCCAAGAGCTTCTTGGTTGCATGTTTTAGGGGCTTGAAACAGTCGAGTGATCAAGTTTGGGGGGTTCAGTCTGCCGTTAGCAAAGAGTTTGTCTGAGCAGTGCGCAATGGTTCTGGAACTGGGTTTCGGAGTGTTGAAACTGCTTCTGGAAGAGGTTGTACAGTTTTCAAGTCTCTAGAGATGTCAATATCGGTCTCGTCTTGGAAAACGCTCCTATGAACGTGATTTGGAGTGTTGAAATTGCCCATAGACTTGGGTTCAGTAGGTGTCCAGCCCAGTTGGTTTCGGGGTCTCAGAAAGGGATTTGGGCGCCGAAGCTGATCAGGAATCGGTGTTGTGAGGTGTCCAAACTGCTTGCAGTAGTGGGCTTTGGAATGACTTTGGGGGGTTCCAAACTGAGATTTCAGCTTGCTCTCCAGTTAGAGGGACTGCTTGGCCGCTGACTCATGCAGGCTTTTGGTCCAGTGGCGATGCTGCCGGGGTGTCGCTCTGCACAGCTCCGCCGCTCAATCTTGTGGGGCAGCTGGCGGATCTCAACTGTGTCGAGCACCTGAAGGCCGGTGACAAAAGAACGTTTGGTGACATGTCATCACAAGAGCTTCCCTTCTTGATACTCTTGCGGCTTCGGGTAGTTTGTCCGAGTCTGTCCGAAGTCTGTCCGAAGTCTGTCCGAAGTCTGTCCGAAGTCTGTCCGAAGTCTGTCCAGGCCCGGGCGTTCTTGGCTGGCGACGATGTGTCCAACATGGGCACCATGACGGATGCTCCCCCGAGGAAAAAGAAGGGTGATGCTGCCGAGCAAAACTGGGACATCTTGTCGGCTTCACTCACTGATCCCAGCCGTTACCGAGTGGATGCGGCCAACAAGAAGGACGTGTCTCGCCTCCTGGCTGTTGCTTTCAGCACGGGCGGTGTTCCGAGTAACTTTGCGGAGAACTACCACTTCAAGTTGGCCATGAAGACTTTGCAGGAGATGCTTGTGGGCTCTGCGCCATGGAAACCACCTGGACGCAAGGATCTCGCCAAGATGCGCCCGCTGGAGTCTGCTGCAGCAGTCCACGACACGTCTGTTTGGATGGCTTCCGTTCGACACTTGACTTTGGCCGTCGATGGCCGCAAGATGGCCGAGGGCAGGTTCAAGGAGTCGATGCTGAACACTGCTGTGGCGCTCTCAGTTGCTGGCCTTGAAGCGCAGTTTTGGCTGCTTGAACTTACCTGGAAGGCAGTTTGGGCTACCTAAAACTTGTTTTTGAGGTTTCCAAAGCACTCCGGGCCGCTCTTGCCCCAGAAAACTGCTGCAAGCGACACAGGGTCCAGCTATATGTTGTGTGTCTTCGCCCCAAATGCAGTTTGGGCTGCCTAAAACTTGGTTTTGAGGTTTGCGGAACACTCAGGGCGGCTCCTGCTGCCTGCTATTGCTTGAATGGGTCCAGCTAGTGCTTCAGCTTCTGTGTGTTCACCCCAAATGCAGTTTGGGCCCCCTAAAACTTGTTTTTGAGGTTTCCCAAACAATCAGGGCAGCTCCTGCCGCAGAAAATTGCTTCCAGCTGAATACTGTTTTTGGGAATTGAAACAACGTTTTGCATCCTTGAAACGGTTGCCAGCCACTCGGGCCGGCTCCTGCCATGAAGCCTGCCCACATGAAACCTACAATTTTGCTTGCTACTGCTGCTCTTGGGATTTCGTCCTTTGCCCACTCGTTAAACAGCGTGAAACTACGTTGTGGAGGCGCGTGATTTTCCCCCTCTCCGCGGACGGGAGCGGTGGCCCGTTGTTTCCAAGTGGACTGTGAGCGTGTCTCCACCAAAACGATGCTGTCCTACTTGAAACGCAGTTTTGGCTACTTGAAACACGTGTCCAGGTCAATTAGCGTTTGCTGAAAGCCAGTCAAGCCAGTCGTTGACAGCGCAAGGTCGTGGGCTGTGGCGAGGAGCGCTTCTTGAGGTCGGAGGACATGAGTGCGGTTCCGAAGGACACGGACCACACAGCCGAGTACGTCGAGGCCATCTTTTCGCAGGTTGATGGTCATCCGGCCCCCTCTGTGCCGGTCAACCTGGTCGCTGCTGTGGTCATGGATAGCCCAAATGTCAACAAGGCTGCCATGAAAGTCTTGGCAGAGAAGTACCCAAGCATCGCCTTCTTGCCCTGCGCTTTCCACGCGCTGGACAATTTCTTCGGGAAGCTCGTGAAGAACGTCGAGCTCTTGGACAGGGCACGTCACTGTGCCAAGCGCCTGACGAAGTTCGCTTCCTCGAAGTCGCGGGCGCGTGCTGCGTTGCAACGTCTCGCAGCCAAGCAGGCTCGCCGCAGATCGCGCGCTGCAGGCAAGAAGTGCCACGCAGTGTTCTATGTTACGGTCCGCAAGTCTCGCCACTACCCCGTGATGAGGCAGGTCAAGCGGGCCTACCAGATGAACCTGCCGGCCTTCTTATACTTTCGGACCGACGAGGCCAAGAATGTGTGCGCTCCCTTCAAGCACTGGGAGGCCGTCCATCGCATTGCTGTGCGCAGTCGGGCTGCGTTTGTGCAGCTGGCCAAGTTTTTCCTGGCCATCCTCAAGCCCGTCATGCGGAAATTGCGGTTGGTGGATGCAGCCAGTGCGACCTTGCCGCATTTGCTGCTTCATTTGATCGACTTGAGGCATGACCTAATCGCTGCATTCCAGAACATGGGCTACAGCTACCGCTTGATGCGTGCGAAAGACGATGTGGACATCGAGGAGGCGCTGAAGCAGGACCTGAAGAAAATGGTCGGCCTTTACAACGACATGGCCAAGGCTTTGATGAGCAACTGGACTGTTGCCGCCTTCCTTGCGGACCCCTTCCATGTCATCAAGTACCGCGAGGAGGTGCGCGAGCGTGGAACCATGCGCTTGGAGGCCAAATGTAGGGGCAAGCACTGGTTTCAGGGGGTTGAAACAACGTCTTCATGCCACGAACCGGCACTGTTCAACTTCCGGGACCGCTTCCTGCTATGAGCGCACCATGCAAGTCGTGCCCTGTTCTAAACACTGGTTTCAAGGGTTCAAAACAACATTTTGATGTGCCGACCAGCAGCGTTCGCAGTGTTCCCACATCCAGGACGTATTCCTGTTGCAAGCAGACGACACAGCGCATATGGTTGTCAAAACAAGGTTTTAAGGGCTTGCAATCTTGTTTCAGCCACTGTTTTCTCTGCCAGGCAGGGTTTGATCCGACCAAGAACATGCCCTCTGGCTTGGACGATGCAAAATGCTTCCGGTCATTGGCCTTCCATGCGGAGCGGGCAATGCTGGACATCATACCTCGCATCTTCCAGGAGAAGCCGCGTCAGAAGCAGGCGCGAGCCCAGCTGCGGAGCTACATGACACAAACTGGGTCCTTTTGTCCGCGGACGCTTGTCTGACACCCCTATCCCCCCACCCAGAATTACCAAAACCAACCCCTTTTTTCCAAAGACCCCAAGCCGGCAACTGTGCTGAGGAAGTTGGCAAGCTGGTGGGATGACGCGGGCTTTGATTTCATGGCCAATCCCAAGCGCAGCCGCCCCATCCCATTGCACCAGCTCTGGTGCGCGCATGATTTGGATGCTCCCGAGCTTTGCCACATCATGCTTCGCTTGGCAGGCCTGGCTTGCCTGGACTCGTGTAGCAGTTTGTGCTGGAAGAAGTTATGTTCAACCCATGTTTCGAGCTCCCCAAAGTAGCAAAGGGGCTAGGGTTGAGGGAAAAATGGAAGGGTTCAGGGTTTGGGCTCAGGTTTTGGGGTCCCGTGGCAGCTTCTGCTGTAGAAGAAGTTATGTTTAGC